AAAAAAAAAAAAAAAAAAAAAAAAAAAAAAAAAAGGGGTCAAAATGGGGACCGTTCTTGCATGCAATTAAGTGTATTGAGACACTTTGGTTGTGATGAACATTTTGTATCATTTGTGGAACATTTATGACTCACTCATAACACTTCTTGGAAGTGTCTCAATCCATGCAACTTATGGGAGTTATCTCCAAATTTGAACCCTCTTCACTTTGACCTTGACCTTTTCTTTTTCAAATTCTCCAAATCATCACTAATCATTACGATTGGTTACTTATCGTTATAATTAGTGTTGCAATTAAATCTTTAACCTTTTCTTTAACTTTTTTCTAAAAATCTATTAGCGATAGGTTTGATCTTTCTAAATAATGTGTGTGAATTTGCCCATGTGACACTCAATTAAACGACAGCAAATAGAGAAAGGGTTGATTGCAACACTTCAACAAAATATAAATGATTGATAGATCATATCGCAGCATGAAATTAAAAAAAAAAATATAGAAAATCAATTATTTTCAATTATAATGCCTAATTTGTGATGTTTGCAATGCAGGGTTTGGGGAAAAAATGGAAATAATGATGAACAATCTGGGGATGATGTTAAATATGAACTTGTAGTTTTGTGTCTACCTGCAATGGCTGGACAAGCTATGCTCTTGGCTGGACAGCTTTTGGAGACTGCTTCTGTTGGAAAATTAGGCATGCCTTCTTCTTTCCCCCTTTCCTCTACTTTTTTTTTTTTTCATTTACCTCGATGATTGTTCGGTGAAGGGTTGATAGAGTTGAACTACCGACCGCTAAGATGGTAATATGATGTCTTATCCACTAAACAGAAGTCTTCATGTATGTGTACTTGATTGATATGTTAAGATGTTGGCTATGTGACCATTAGTTTACATGATAAATTGATAAGTTGGACATACGCTCTATCTATCTTTTGGCCCTTCGCCTGTCTGCTTGGCTGGCAAACTACCTTAATACATTCCTAGTTTCGATTCGTTATGCTAAACACCTCTCGTCTTCAATGGAGTTTACTTTTGAAAGTATGCCAATATGATCTTAACGAGGTGTGGGGCTAACATGTTGGGCTTCCTTATTTGGGTCTTCCTAAGAGGGGAGTATGTAAGCTATAGAATCTCAAATTAAATTCTTCTAATGGAAATCCAACGATGCAAACAGCTTGTTGTCATCAAGTGCCACTTTTCATATGCTAGATGAAGGCTTAGAATAGAATCGTTGTAGCTCTTACGTTGTTCCTATGCAACATGAAGTATATTAATGTTCGATAAACTATCATTTTCAACACGAAAAAGTTGAGTTGATTTAAGATAATCGTTGTTCACATATGCCCGTTTTTTGAACATTTGTGCAGGTGCCTTGGAGTTGGCTTCAGCTGGTGTTTCCATAAACATATTTAACTACTTATCAAAGCTTTTTAATGTCCCTCTACTAAGTGTAGCTACTTCCTTTGTTGCTGAGGACATTTCAAAGCATGGCTTCCAACATCCTTCTTTAGGTTCTCTTCCAATGCTTTTGTTTCTACTTTTTTTCTTTCATAACTTTCATACCATTCTCAAATCCACTTTTCATGGAAGCAGATTCTGTGCAGAGAAAGCACTTATCTTCAGTTTCTACAGCTCTTGTGCTGGCACTTGGAGTTGGAGTTTTTGAGGCTTTAATCCTTTACTTTGGATCTGGAATTCTTCTGAATGCCATGGGTATTCCTTGTGTAAGCATTTGTTCGGCTTCCTCTATTTTCTATCGAGAGTTTTAGGTTAGATACAAGTTGAGTTATGAACCTTTTTGTTCGTGTCAAGTAGATTCATGGACTCCTAAAAGTACTGAACTAGTCCTGTGTTAGTAAGTCCTCGAGCCTCTAAGCTTGATTCGTGAATTTTAAAAGTGTCGGATAGAAGACAAATCCACTAAACACAAAGTTGAAGGCTCGAGAACTTACCTAACTCATTTGACACGAACTTAAAAGTTTACTGACTAATTTATCTTGTCTTAACAGGGGTCATCTTTGCGCATTCAAGCCCAAAAATTTCTCACACTTAGAGCCCTTGGTGCTCCTGCTGTTGCTCTTTATTTGACTCTTCAAGGAGTTTTTAGAGGGTTTAAGGATACCAAAACTCTTGTTCTATGTCTAGGCATGCATCTATCTATCACACTTAGACTTATACTAATGCCAAAGTTTGTGTTTTAGTAATTCCTTTTTTGTGGTTACTTCCCGGTTTAGTCTTGAAGCTCTTATGTTCGTATCCAATAAGTCCTCGAATGGTAACAAATATCCAGTAGAGTTTAAATAGGACTTGAAAATGCTTTATAAAGTTTAGTATTAAACTCGTAATTTAACCTCATTTTTTTAGATTCTTATTCGTTTTCGGGCATGAATTTGTATTAATTGGCAGGAATTGGCAACTTTTTGGCTGTCTGTCTTTTTCCACTATTGATTTACTATTTTCAATTGGGCGCAACTGGAGCAGCAATTTCCATTGTAGTGTCTCAGTACGTTAACTTTCCAACTGATCTTCTTATGTGTTCTCTTATGGCCTCCAAATTCTAATGAGTTGTGTTCATGTTTCAGATATGTTATTGCTTTTCTAATGATATGGTTTTTAAACAAAAGGGTTGTACTGCTATCGCCAAAGTTTGGTGCACTGCAATTTGGTGAATATATGAAATCTGGTAATTTCAGAACTGTTTTCTTCTTCTACTTCATACTTTGGAGAAAGTTTGATATGAACAAAAATATGTTGTTGGGAGTGATCTCTCCATTGAGCTTTTCTTACCATGCATTGACCAAAATTGGACTTCGTTTCTTTGCAAAGAATAGACACAAGGAGACGCTCAAAGAGCTCTCCTCCACCTGCCTTTTCGAGAGAAGGGGAGGTTTTCATGGAAAATGGGAATGTGAGATCCTACATCGGTTGGAGAGGAGAACAAAAGGTGTGAAAACCTCTCACTAATAGATGCGTTTTAAAACCGTGAGACTGACGATGGTACGTAACGGGACAAAGTGGACAGTATCTACTAGCGGTGGGCTCGGGGTGTTACGAATGGTATCAGAGTTAGACATTGGGTAGTGTGCCAGCAAGGACGTTGGCCCCCCAAGAAGGGTGGATTGTGAGATCCTACATTGGTTGAAGAGGAGAACGAAAAATTTCTTATAAGGGTGTAAAAACCTCTCCCTAGTGGAAGTGTTTTAAAATCTTGAGAGGAAGCATGGAAGGGAAAAGCCCAAAGAGGACAATATTTGCTAGTAGTGGGCTTGGACTATTACAAATGGTATCAGAGCCATGCACCGAAAGGTGTGCCAATAAGGATGCTGGGTCCCAAGGGGGGGTGGATTGTGAGATCTCACATCGGTTGAAGAGGAGAACGAAAAATTCCTTATAAGGGTGTGGAAACCTCTTCCTAACAGACACATTTTAAAACCGTAAGACTAACGACGATATGTAATGGACCAAAGCAAACAATATTTGCTAGCAATGGGCTTGGACTGTTACACAAATGGGGGCATATGTGCAATCTTCTAGGGTTTATAGGAGGGAAATAATAGGAACCGGGCTCGAGTGATTTTTGACTTTCGTAGAGTCTTAAATTTATTTAAGAAGAGCTCCTCTTCTTTAGCTTGACTTCCTTTTTCTAAACTTGTCTTATATTCTTTCATCTAAATCATAATATTTAAAAAGTGAACTTAATGTTATCTTACCACAGAAGAAGAAAAAATGATGTCAAACACAATTGCTATCAACATTTTAGAGAAATTTGTTTTGGAACAAATCTATAAACCAATAGACTCAATAGCCATTGATTTCCATAGTTTGATTAGATGTGTACCTGCCATTAGGTAGTTTTCTCTTTGGAAGGACTCTTTCCATTCTAACAACCATGACGGTAGCGATGTCAATGGTCACTCGTCAAGGTGCAGTACCTATGGCTGCACATCAAATATGTATGCAAGTATGGTTAGCAGTAACGACTCTTACTGAAGCTCTTGCTACTTCTAGTCAGGTAAACATTTTTTTGAAATAATGAAGTCCGAAATTGAGGATGTTCTCACCATGGCTTTATCTGTTTTTCTCCTTGACATTGAAATTGCGTACACTGATAGGTTATAGTTGCGAGTGCTGCATCAAAAAGAGATTATAAGACTGCAAAGAAAGTTACAAGCTTAGCCATAAAGGTACAATTTCATTTTATTTGTGTATTTGTGTCACTACATTCCCACTGGAAGTCTTTTGAAACTTGACGTTTCAACAAATGAACAAGTTTTATATGGATTTGGTTCAGGTAGGCTTGCTCGCAGGTATCATATTATGTGCAGTCCTTGGAGCATCTTTTCATTCTTTGGCCCCTTTGTTCACCAAGGATCCTCAAGTGTTGGAAATTCTTAGAAAGGGAGTGCTGGTAAGTTATGCAGTTTCGTTTTGAACAGAACTCGTCCTTACTAGGTTGAACCTTTTCATATATGTGGCTCACAGAATGCTTCCATTGAATCTTGTACAGTTTGTAAGTGGCGCTCAACCTTTGATTCCTCTAGCAACTCTCTTTGATGGTTTGCATTATGGTGTTTCGGACTTCCCGTATGCAGCTTGGTCAACGGTAAACATTTTCCTTCATAGTAAAGATCACTAAAATGAAGTATCCTTTTCTCCAAAGTGAAGACAAACTTGTTGGTTATATTAGGTGGTGGTTGGAACAGTCTCTTCATGCGTTATGCTTTATGCTCCTTCCAGTTTTGGTCTATATAGGACATGGCTAGGCTTGACACTCTTTCTGGGCTTGCGTACTGTAGCTGGTTTTGCCAGGTACAATCTCGCTCTTGAACTCAAGGACACAACTGTATAGCCTATAGAAATAGATCCTGTACTTGTTTTCATTCTTGAAGGACCTGACAACCAAAAGTTCATCACATAGAATGAGCAAATCTTATGATGATAGGTCATCAATATGCAAGATTGAAGTTCGAAATGTGACGCTACCAATAGTTTTTAGCTCATAACTAAGTAGTTAGATGGGAAAATTATGCAGTAGTGCTTGCATTCTAATTCTATCCTTGGATGCATTTTATCGTGATACTGAAACGGATAGTCAATGTTAAGCTCTGGAATTCAGATAGATGATAGACCATTGATCCCTAATTTTCATGTGATTCTTCTCTACAAACATTTATAACTTCCATGCGGTTGTTTTGTTATGCAGATTGCTTTCAAAAAATGGTCCATGGTGGTTCCTGCACAGTAATTTCCAAGTTGGAACATACTAAGAGTTGTAGTTTATGGTATCAAATTTCTCATGCTCTCATTTGGTTTTTGTCCTCAAATGGGTCGCTTCCATCATTGCTAGGGAGTCAAGAGTACTATTTGTGTATGATCAAGAATGCTAGTAGCAAATAAGATGGTATGGGATTTAATAAGCCATGTATATAAATATAATGTACTTTCTGTTCTTTACTTGTCCTAAACAAAATAACGCGTAAAGCATAAATGTTAATGAAAATGGAACTACTAAGCAAGGAAGGCTTCATATATGTGTGTAATACGTAACAAAATGTCGAGTTGACGTACTCAGTAAGTTCATTCCTTCAAGCTGCAGACCGCAAAATTGGTTTTGTTAGACGGTTCTTGCTCATCGAACCTCTACTTTTGCTTCGAATCGACTGAACCTACCCTATCTAATAACAGAAAGAAGAATTTCCAAGAAGCTCAGAGGTGACCAACTTGGGATCACGCAGGCTGCTCGAGGGTCAAGTATAGATCAATAGTAACCGTAGCGTTCTATACGACTGACAGATTAGAACTCCACCAATGATATTTCATTCAATCAAAAACTAACTCCAAACTACTGATTTAGAATTCTACACTAAGGGTATGAACTAATTACTTGAGGATACAGAAGCACTACCCAACCCCATCTTCTGCCCCAACAGCATAAGCTGCTCTACAAACTCCTCTCCAGTTAGAATTTCTGTTGTACCATACACAACATGTTTGGGAGGCTGCTGACGCAGGGAAAGTTCCTGCAGACTTGCATACTCTATGTAATTACCCCCGCCAATCATAAATACAATCGCTTCCTTGAAAGGTCCTTTTAAATGGCTGCTGCTTGTTCCAGCACTTGACCTTTGAGCACGAGGATCGAGAACGAGATACGAGTCAATTTCAGGATTTGGTTTTCCCTCCATCAAAGCCTCCACAGTCCTTGTTAATGCAAGTTGCCTATCACTAGATAATAGATTTTTTACACCAGCAGTCACAGCACTAATTGATTGTCCGTATAGCTTTTCAGCCCAATTGACAATGTTTCCCTTGCCAGTGGAATTTGCAGATGCAAATGAGACGTTCAATGATTTCATCTTCTTTACATATTGAAATGCACTAGTGTTAATTTCCAACTCCTTTAGGACCTCTTCCATGGCTTCAACTTCCGATTGATTAATGTTTTCAGAAGAGATTAGATACATGATAGCAAACCGAAGCTTGTCCATCTTCGTGCCTTTACCTCTAAGCAAGTCCAAAAGCTCATTCCGATCAATGCCGCCTCTTGACATTATCTCGTTCACCTTCTTCGCGTATGAATCAAGGGATCTTTCCTTAATCTCACCAAGCAAAACAGTAGCAATATTTGTGTGCTTGTCGATGATTTGCTTCCGCTCGGTCAACTCAGGCAATGAGTTAACTGCCTTCATCAAATGCTTAGTGTTACCTATCATATCTGCTCCATCAAACTCAGCCTCAGCAGCTCCACCAGTCTTCCTATTGACCTCATCAACATCCCTCTTGTATTTGTTCAGCTGTGTCTCAATCTCGACTGCAACTTCTGGGAATTCCAAGAATCCATTAGCCGACCAAAATGGATCCGAACTATTCAACTCATAATTCATTCCACCCTTTTCACTCTTAACACTCAACCCATTCAATTTCAGCCCAAGAATGTCGTGCACCAAAGGTTGGTATCTAAAATCATGTTGAATTCCAACAGACAACTCAAAATTACGATCAAATAAACACAGAATCGGGCGCTGAAAGGAGCTCATAAACCCCCCACCTTCAGAGAACAAGTTGTTCTTCGATAACAAGTGATCCCTTAACCTTTGATCCAACGCCATGGCAACCATCTCAGCAGGCCCCCCTCGTGGGCACCTAATGATCGGCACTACAGCAAGCGTAGCCAAAACACAGAACAACCCACCAACAATCTTCTCCACAATCTCTTCAATCTCACGATCCCCTGCCGAGGGATCATTCAATTGCACATAACTAGACCTCTGACCTAACGAAAACAAATTATCTTCAAGAGTAACAAATTCCAAATACTGATCATGCACCTTCGCAATTCGCTGAATCGAATCCGATTTCAACGTTTCAGACGCGAGATCCTCAAGCAGCGGCCGGGGGACAGAGGATGAGAAGTTGAGAAAGAAGCTATCATACAAAGAACGCGAAGCATCAGCAACGATCCGATCGATATTATGCTTAGTTGCTTGAACAAAGTAAACAGCAGGGACATCGTGTACAGGCTTACGGTCCTTGTCAATAAGGAAGTAAAGAGTAACGCCATGTTTGCGTAGGTCCTTGACATGAATCAAAGGAGAAAGAATGTTTTGACAGAACCTGTCGTAGATCAGGATCTTGTAAACCTCATCGTTGGCCGTACCCGTAGCGGTAACAGGCTGGTTCAGATTCAACATACGAATGATGCTTTCTGCCATCAATTAAAGACAGAATTAGTTCAAAGAAGATCGGAGAAATGGAATCCGGCGTAATCGAGTACTTAATATGTATGGTTGATTGGCGGGAACTGAGACTTAAGGAAGAAGAAAAGGACTTACCAGTCTGCTTTTGGCGGAGATTGAGAGCCATAGCTGAGGAATCCGATCGAGCTGCGAAGAGAAATGAAGAGTTAAAGATATTGAGGCGGCCGGAGATGGGATTGCGAGGGAGAAGGCGACGGTGGGTTCCTCTGCGTGGTTTCTCTAACGAAGACGAGAAGTAAGGAGGCGACGAAATGGTGGATGACGATTCCACCTTCTTCGATATGATGCCGTTTCATACAACGACTTCTCTATTTTATTTTGTCTTTTAAAATTTGGTAATAATCTAGTTTTAAAAAAATTTATATCTTATTAAAAAAGTAATTAAATGATTATCTAATCATAATTTTTTATAATTAAATCAATAAATACCACTTTTATTGATTTGGTCGACTTCCTAATTTCAAGTTAGTAAAGGAAAAATATAAGAAAATTACTCATAAGGTTAGTGGGTGATCCCGTATCTACGTATAATATCGACTTTTCCTATTTATAATCAAACAGTATAAAATCACAATATCGACGTTTTCTGTTTATAATCAAACGGTAAAAGATCACAATATCGACATTTCTTGTTTATAATCAAACGGTATAAGATCATAATATCCACTTTTCCAGTTTACAATCAAATAGTATAAGATCACTCACACTATTGACTTTTCCTGTTTATAATCAAACAGTAAAAGATTACACTATTGACTTTTCCTGTTTATAATCAAACAGTATAAGATCACACTATTGACTTTTCCTGTTTATAATCAAACAGTATAAGATCACACTATTGACTTTTCCTGTTTATAATCAAACAGTATAAGATCACACTATTGACTTTTCCTGTTTATAATCAAATAGTATACGATCACACTATTGACTTTTCCTGTTTATAATCAAACAGTATAAGATCACACTGTTGACTTTTCCTATTTATAATCAAACAGTATAAGATCACACTATCAACATTTCTTGTTTATAATCAAATAGTATAAGATCACAATATCAACTTTGCATGTTTATAATCAAACAGTATAAGATCACACTATTGACTTTTCCTGTTTATAATCAAACAGTATACGATCACACTATTGACTTTTCCTGTTTATAATCAAACAGTATAAGATCACACTGTTGACTTTTCCTATTTATAATCAAACAGTATAAGATCACACTGTTGACTTTTCCTATTTATAATCAAACAGTATAAGATCACACTATCAACATTTCTTGTTTATAATCAAATAGTATAAGATCACAATATCAACTTTGCATGTTTATAATCAAACAGTATAAGATCACACTATTGACTTTTCCTGTTTATAATCAAACAGTATAAGATCACACTGTTGACTTTTCCTATTTATAATCAAACAGTATAAGATCACACTATCAACATTTCTTGTTTATAATCAAATAGTATAAGATCACAATATCAACTTTGCATGTTTATAATCAAACAGTATAAGATCACATAATCGACTTTTCCTATTTATAATCAAACAGTGTAGGATCACAATATCGACTTTTCCTGTTTAAAATCAAAAGGTATAAGATCAAATGAGTCTCTTCCAAAAAGCATATTCAGACCAAGTTCTTCGTTTCTACGTAACGACTCCGATCGGTACGTGTGCAGAAAGTCGAATCTATAGTAGCATGAAGCCTCTCCGATTCCAGAAATACTAAGTTTAAAGATCGTTAAACACATCAATCGATAAGATTTTAACAAATCTCTCTACTAATATCTGTCCACCCCACAAATAAATTATGCAAAACATACCAATTCTGTCACTCATAGGCAGCTATTTACAAGAACAGTAAGCAAGCCCATAGTTTGTAATCATGATAATACACTAAAAGCTATAGATTCATTTATCCTCTTTGCACCAAGAAATTACCTTGGCATTTGGTGAATCTCCTCCCCATCATTGCCATGCCATAACTACATTTGGAGATGGCTCACACAAAGCAGAAATTCAGGCATTTGAAACTTCAATACACATCTCTTGATATGTGAACCACAACCAGCCTCTTTTTTTCTTGC